TCTTCTATGTTCTTCTTCTATTTTAGGTTTTTCTTTTTTTTTTCTTTTTTCCTTTTTCTCCCCGGAAACCGAACAGGCAACAGAGACAGAGAGGGTGAAATTGTTGAGAATGAAATTGAAACTATAAATTTAAAAAAAAAAAAAGAACAGAGAGAGAAGTTTATGAATGTGATATATACAAAGCTTATAAACAGAAGAAGGGGAAAGTTGCACTATAATTTCTTTTAACCGGTCACAGTGGATGGGTTTACCGGCTACAGGCCGTTGATTACACCCCATTACCCATGCGAAATTAGGGCACTATTACATTTCTTTGGAGGATATGGAATGCTCATACTCGTAGGGCTGGTGCTGCTGCTCTACCCAGTATAAAAAATATATATAAAATAAAACACCGGGGCGTTTTCGGTATTCTACTCACTATGTTAGGGCAATTCGGTCATCTCGGATTCGAATTGGGGAAAATCAATTTTTTGTGGGGAATTAGGGTTAACCCGGGTTTGGGCGAAAACGGTGGGCTCTGCCCTTTAGATTTCGATCGACGGCTGTGGTTTGGGAATTTTGGGCGTCGTTGGTTCTGTGTAGAATGTAAAACTGAGTGATCCGTGGAATTAGGTTTACGTTTACCCGAGTATTTTCTTTCCTGAATTTATTTTGTAAATATTTGATTTAATTTTTTAAATTTGAAACTTCGCAAAATATTACGTATGCTTAACTAACAGGAATATGTTCATCTTGGTACGTAGAAATTTAAATCTTGTATTATTGATTAATGAAATAATGTGATTGTAGTAGTTTTTAATTTATGCAATTTACTTTAGCTTTCCTTAGATTTACCGGGGATCCCTGGAGATTAACTTAAAATTTAATATAATATTTTTATGGAAATTTAAATTTGAAACTATCGAATAAAGATACGGTATGATTAGGTTATTTATCTCGCAGTAACGTGGAAATGTGGCTCTGATTGGTTCTCCCGTTAGGAATGGATGGGCTGTGAGGGAAATTCGAACAAGGTAATCCTACGTACGCAATTTCGGAAGCGGTATGATTTGAGTCACCAAGTTGGACTAATAGGCTTCTTTATTATGAACAAGCCCAATTAAATATCTTGATTGGGCCTAAAGCCCATCTTCAGCTCACAAAATCGCAAGATTTATAACTTGTCATGTTGGGCTTGGAGAGGCCTTCTTCCTGGGCTTACCGCACATGTCAGCTTTCTCAATTTTATTGTTTTTTTTATTCTTAATATATGTATATTTTTAAAATTTTGTGATTCTAAATATCAAAATATACTTTTCTCCTTTAGATTGACGTAGAAATGTACTTTATTAACAAAATACCAAAATTATAGTTTCAAATTTCCACTCTAACCTAATGTACTTAATAAAACGAAAAAAAATCCACAATTTGTATCATTTTATTAAATCAAGTTCAATAATCTAAATATCACTATATGGTTAATTAAATCCACACCCCACTTGAGAGTTTAAATTCTTCCTTATGTCATGGGAGTATATATATAATTAAAATAATAAATAATATTAATATTAATAAATTTACTATGAGATGATCTACTCTACAACAATATGAATATGTCACACACAACGTCTTTTTGAAACATCACAATTCATCTATATTTTTTACTACTATGGTTCAACTAACAAAATCTAACTATAGATTTGAATTTCTCCCAACTTATATACTTTTTGTCCAAAAATCTCCTAGACAAATAGAAAATTGGTTAACGTTAGATTTGTACTCTTAATATACCTATGTGGCTTATGCACATGCCTGGGAGGGCTTATGCTCGAGGCCCGAGCCTTTCAGACTATTTCCAAGCCTATGAAATTATTGTAACGTTATCTGTGAATCAGGTCTTTATTTCGATCATATCAATACCGTCACTATCTAAAATAGAATTACCTTTGTTCTTTGTATATATGTCATAAAAAGAAAACATTATTTTGTGAAATTGAATATTATCATATTTTTCCAGATTTTCCTAACTTAAAATATTGGGCCTTAAGCCCGATCCAAATGCTTGACAGGCCGATTCAAGTTCGGCCCAATA